GTATGCATATATTCTTTGTAGGTAATGGACACTTGGGTTTGCGCAAGTATCGATTCCATCATAGACCAGTGGTGGTACCTTGCATGTCTTCGTTGCAACTCCTCAATGGAGGATGACAACAAGATATATTCGTGTCGGAAGTGCTCTCACAATCGTGGCACATTTCGGTTTGTTAATATTCTATATATTCAATTTTATTTATGTAAATGTATTTGTATATGAACTTTATTAATGAAAACATTAACGATAACTTTGTTTGATTTGTAGCTACAAAATTCAATTTGGTGTTTCCGATGCTTCCGCCAGTGCAACCTTCGTTTGTTGGGATAAGGATTGTTAAAATATCATTGGCAAAACTTGCGATGTTTTGAAACGTGAATTTGCCCAAAAGGTATACTCCATTTTATCTTATTTATTATTTATTGATATTTATATTTATATTTCTATTATTACTACTAAAAAAATGAAAAATAATATAAATTTTGATTTTATGGCAGAAGAAACCCATCTTTGAACTCCCCGATGAACTTGAAGAGTTGCAAGGGACGTCATATCTCTTTAAGGTTCGCATTAAGCCAAATGATCCTTACAACCAGGGTTCTACTTTTACTGTGATAAAAGTTGTCGTTGACGAACGTTTGGTTTTCAAGTACAGTCAATGGGTCGTTGAGTATGATATAAGTCTTATTTGATATCGGATAATTGATTATAACCTTTATTCAAAATTATAAATTTTAATTATGTTCATTTTATATTAATGTATTTGTGGTTTATCTTTGTATTAATTATAATTCTTTTTATAAGATTCTGATTTCTTAACTCTCTTACTAAGAGAAGAGGCTACACATGGAGTGGTATACATTTTTACCACAATGATACGTTCTTTTTTTTCCATAATGAATTGAAATATGAAACACTATTTTGATGAAGTATATTTAATTTTATTATTGTAGGATCCCACATTGAAAGATGAGGCTTCGACTCCTGTAATGGTTGTGCAATCCAAGGATGTCGGTGATGGAATTACAAAACGGAACCTATCTGATCAATTTGCTACTGAGTCCGTTACAAGCAATAAAGGGAAAACAAAGGTTGATGATGATGGAAATTTGATCGAAGAAAAAGAAGACTGATTTGATGAAGTTGGAGTTTAAGAGAGTTTTTCTATTAGTTAGTTTTGAAAGTTAATCGTTTTTTATTTATTGCGGTTTGATAAAACATTTTACAATTCGTTGGATTTGAGGTTCGTAATTTTTGAAGTTTTCAGACATTTAGTATTTTTTTTCCAGCCTCTAGGTAACATATAGTTGCCGAGGCTTTTCCTTCATAATAAAATAAATTGAGTTAGTTTTATCAATCTTTATATTGATATTCACCGAGTATTGATGTTCACTGAGTAGTTTGTTTCGTATTTTTGAATCATGTATAGAATCAAGACCCACACTAGCCAATTTACTTATAATATTAGTTATGAATAATAACAACGATGTCAAACTATATGTTGCTCTACTTCCAATATGCTGAATGGTGTTTTTTCTTCACGTCCTAACCTTTGATAATATTAACTAATAGATAATATTTAGCTTAATGGAGACATATAAAATTTGATAAACCAAAATTTAGTCATGTTTGTTATAGATACATATCTATTGATCAATAAACTCATCGGATAAGGGTTTAAACAATTATATTGATAAGCACTTCTTATATGGTTGTTATCGATATATATCATTAAAAATAGATAACTAATTGGATAATCATTTGAAAAATATCTAAGACTGATTACAGACTTCTGAATTTTGAATTTGTATATGGCAATCTTTGATATCGAATTAAAAGGGATGAAATCGAATTGAATGGTGAAACCACAATCCCCAATATCTTGGAGATTAATAGAATCCACACTCTTCAAAAAAACTTTTGTTCTTATATATCTACAAACCAATGTGATAGAATCCACACTATACAAAATACTAATTGTTGTTATAGATATATATCTATTAAAAATGTAACTAATCGGTAACCATTTGAAAAATATCTACTGCCGATAAAAGGCTCCTCAATTTGTATAAAATGGAATAACGCATATTTTACATTTTCGAACATTTATTATTTTAATGTGGTAAGATGATAGCTATGAAATTATAGATAATCTTTGAGATGATATTAATAGGGATGAAATCGACTTGAAAGCTGAAACCACAAATCCAAATTTCCTAAAGATTCATAGAATCCACACTCTACAAAAAAACTTTTTGGTTGTTAAAGATATACACCGAAACAATGTGATTTGGTTGATTATTGTAATATAATCAAGGAAAATCTCAATTTTTTCCGATCAAGATTTCTATGAATCTTAATAGTGCATTGATATAGATAGTCAAAGATTTCTACTCTCTTATTAGTGCATTGATATATATATCCGAAGATAACATCAAATTTATGAGAATGATTCTACTCCAAACTTGACCAAAGATAATAGCAAATCTAAGATATTGCAATTACCGAACAATTATCAAAGCGTGAAATTAGGTACTATTTATTGTCTCAATCAATAATATATATATATATATATATATATATATTATATATATAATATAATATATTATATTGAATTTTTTATCTTATATATCAAATCTGCGCAAAAGTAGGACATTAATATATCAATTATTTAATATATTCATTGATTGAGGCGATATCTATAAATACCTCAAACCATAATATCAGCCCACGCAGTTATCAATCGTCCATAAAAAATATTTTAGCGAGAATATACAATCCAAAAAGAAAAAGAAAACATGGATCAACCATTTGGCTTTATCCGACAGATTCAGAGGAGTAAGAGATTCATGCTAAAACTCCGAGCAATTCGTATCTTCGAAAAATCATTTGATTCCAATCATTGAAGACAATTGGAGATCGTATTTCATGATGAAGAGGTTATTGTAGTGTTAATTATTAAATTGTTCAATTACTATGTTTCTTAATGTGGTCTTTATACTAATGTTTATTGTTTCTTAGGGGACTCGCATTAGTGGTATTATTCGTGGCGTTCATTTATCAAAGATGGCTGGCTATTTCCACGAATGTGGCGTATATAAAATCCTGAACTACTATTTAGACAGCAACATCGATAAGTATTGATCTACTGCTGCAAAATACAAACTCCTTATTCATAGCGATACAGAGGTTCTAGAAATGCACGCATACTTTCCTTCGTGGCATTTTCAATTCCATAGCTTTGCTGACTTTCAAGATGTTGAGAATGTTGATGAATCTTATCTTTTCGGTAATTTTTTTGATTTATTGTCAATATTTATTTTACATTGAGTATTTTATTGATTATTATCATAGATATCTTAAATTAACATTCTTTTATATACAATGTAGATGTTATTGGTATGGTGATTGAAATTCATCCTGTTCAGTCTAACTGGGTTCATGGACAAAA